TTTTTTGGCTTGATTGCTTAGCCAAGCCGGCCTCCTCCTCCTCCTCCTCCTCTTCCTCCTCCTCTATGGATTTAAATGAACTTCCAAATATTCTGGAGAGAGCCCAACCCCAGTCCCATCCTTTCCCCGCTTTCTGCTGATGATGATTAATGATGTCAGATCCATTTGGAATATGACGTTGCAATCTTTATCTAGGACACTGTTTCTCAACAGGCTTTCTCTGGAGTTCTGCGACGCTCTCCAGGGTGTAAATATTTTGGAAAACACCCATAAACGGGAAAGTTTGTTTTGAATCTTCACGCAAACGCTCCGCCTCTCGTGGTTTGTGGCTCATCTAAGCCTATGTTCTGGATTAGACCGCTTGAAATCAAGCGGGGCAGAAACCATGCCGGGCTCCGCTCTGCGGTTGGCGAAGCCTCCATCTTATCCACGGTTCTCCACGAGGGGACTGACCTTTCCCACGGTTACTCGGCCCTCCTCTCCGTTTTGTCTTCCGAACAACTCTGCAGGGTAGGACCAAGAGAGGGACGAGTCTGGGGTGACCTTCAAAGCTGAGTGTGTGTGTGTGGGGGGGGTCTTGATCCAACGTTTTCAGGTGTGGGTGGCCTCCCAGGCGTTCTTGGATGGCAACGATCATCAGGTCCCCAGCTGTAACCAGAGTAGCCAGCGGTTCTGAGGTTGCCGTCCGGTGGCCCCAAGAATGCCACATCTGTGCTCTAGCCGTTGAACTCCACTGCCCTGTCTTTCTGGCACCATTCAAGGATCAAATGCCCCTTCTCTGATGGTCGCTGGACAGTTCTCGCACCCCGTTCAGACCCAGCCAGGACCCCCGGCCTCCTCCCGAAGAAGAAGCCGAAGGAGCCTGCCCTCATTTCACCTCCCGTGCGGGGTTGATCTGTCGGCCTGCCTGAATGACTAAGCAATATTTATTTATCGCTGGCCCTTTCTTTGGCTGACCAGCTCTGGCCTTTTCAGAGCGAGGGGGAAAAGGCCAGGCCGCTGCGCCCTGGCGCCTGCTTTTGCTTCCCTCCGTTCGCCATTGCCGCCTCTCTCCTGTTTCCTTCTTCCTCTTAAAACTACCCTTAGAAGGAAGCTGAAGGGGCAACTGAATCTCGGAACGGATCCATTAAAGGAAGTGCCACTAATCACATCTCGGGAGGAATGAAGTGAGAAACCATCTCCTCAATCCCAGACCTGCTCAACCCCAAAGTTTAGCCTTGGGAGTTCAAGCAGGAGAACAGTCCGGTGGCGTCTTAAAAGATGCCCGTTTGGGAACGGCCAGAAGTTCTGTGGCACGTGGTCAACTTCTTTGGATGCAAGCCTAAAATTTTACCGTGAGCTTTTTGGTGGGGGGGCGTATCACCCAATCCATGAGACACATCCATGAAATGGGCTGCAAGCCCCAAAAAGTGACGTTGCCATAAATGTGAAAGCTTTTCAGGGGACACAGAGCTCTTTGCTCCTTCCTTCCAGCAGCCAAAGAGGGCTACTCTCTGGGAAACCGCTAGGCTTATCTCGAGGTCTGACCTTTTTTCCCCGGTGGGGAGGCTTATCCCAGTCCAAAGATGAAAGGGTCAGAGCCCCAAAACCCACCTCTCGCCTGTTCCTTTTTAGGACCCAAAAGGAAAGGGGTTTCAAGGGTCCTCGTCCCCACCCCTTAGACTGCAGGTGGCCAGAGGGGTCTCCTCTTCCGAGAAGCCCAGAGAGAGGGAGGGTCAGGCTCGAAAGCGAAGGATTCCGCCCCCCGCCCCGCTGACAAGAGTGGGATGGTAAGAACGGTATTTTATTATATTTGGGGAGCGGGCAGACAAAGCAGGCCGGTGGAAGGTCTCGCCACCCACCCGCACGGTTTCGCTGGGGAGCAGCGCGGGAGGGCGCGGGGGGGGTAGCCTTCGGATCTTCCATCCTTTCAGCGCCACCTGTTGTCACCTGGGACCCCCGGGGTAGGTGTCCCCCTCTTCAGGTAGGGCTCTGGACCCCCTGCGCCGAGGCCACAACCAACCTCCTCCCCCCCCCCACGCGTCCGCCTGTGTACATTCAGGTAAGAACCTTCTTGGGTGGGAGAGGCCTCCCCTCCGGTCCCCCCCC